TTCCTGCCTATAGCGTCCGACTTGCCGCATCCCCAAGAACTATGATGGGCATTGAAGTCCCCTAAAAACAACGTATTATTATGCAAATTTGCGAGATCGAAGAGGGCTACTAATACTGCGAAAGGCGTACGTTTGTTGGGGTGTCTGTACACATTGATAATAGTTAAGTCCATCCCCGGAGATTTAATTTTTATACCCTGGATTTTGAGTGAATCGTGAAAGACAAATGAGGTATCAACAGGTTCGAAAAGGATATTATTACGAAGAAGAATGCATATGCCACATTCCCTAATAGCCAATCTATCCTTCATGACTACTCGAAAGCCATTAAGATGAATTTTGCTTGAGGGATTTATTAGAGTCTCTTGTACACAAATAACGTCATACGAATCAGCTAACCGCTGAATGTCTGGCAATCTACCTCGCAATCCACGACAATTCCACGACAGGACGGAGAGTTTACGACCTTTAAAGGTACGCTTAGTCATGTGGATTGGGGATCGAGGGGAGATGAGGGGAAGAGAAGGGGGAGGGGAAGAGGGAGGAAGAGGGAAGGGAAGAGAGGGAAGGGGGGTGGGGGAGGGAGGGGAACGGAGGGTGTATCCAAGGAAGGAAGGGAAAGGGAGGTAGGGTTAGGAAGAAGGAGGGAAGGGGGAGGTGATAATATTTTCAATGATGGACTTACAGATGATAAAAGTTGTTCGCCCCATCGGACGGATGGGAGGCCTGCGAGGGGCGTTGGGGAAAAACCGTATACTGCTGAGACGTTGAGTTGTTGGAACTAAAAATATTGAAGAGCTGGTTTAAGTAAGGCGAAATCATTCTAATTAGCGTTAGAATCTTATTTATTATTTGGGAAAGATTGGGATTACCTAATCCGCCACAAGAGTTGAGAAGATCTAGAAGAGCCTCAAAACCACTTGATTCTCTATTCAAGTTCTGATTGTAGGAGGGAGGGGAGGAGCTTCCCCTATGCGAGTTTGAGTTTGAGTTGGTGTTAGGAGTGCTGGTGAAATTTGGCTGGAAACGGACTCCGTTTCCCGAAGAAGAAGAAGGCGGACTTCTATCGAAATTATGAAGAGGAGGAGGAGGATCCCTGCCCTCCGCGGCACTCCTGTGGGATTGTGCCTCGTTAATAGGAGAAGCAGCCGATTTTCTGACATTATGGTTTGGTTGCGACCTATGCTGCCTTGAGGATAAGCCTGCCGCTATTTGTGCGTAAGAAGCCTGCGAACCTGGGGAATGATAATCACCATTATTAATTCCGTTTAGAGCCTCAAACCTATTGTGAGTAGGAACAGCGAAAGCAGAGCTAGACCCTGTTGTGGGGGACTGAGAAGAGAAACCAGGGCCGAGTGTAGGGGAAGGAGGAGTATTCAACCTTTTTTTTGCCTCTGCGAGAGGTATATTTTGGGCTGCTGAAAGAGTGAGAATTTTCCTTTGGTTCTCTAGTAGGGGGCATTTAGGATTCACTGGGAGATGCTCACCCGAACAATTTATGCAGCATGGTGTATCTTCCTTAAGCGGGCAGATGACGTCATTGCCATGTGGGGCATTACCACAATAGATGCAGCGTGGCTGACTGCGACAGGCAGCACTGACGTGGCCAGCTCTATAGCACGAGTAACATACCCGAGCTTTAGGGATATACGGATGAACTTCGTGCCTGGCCCAGAAGAGAGTCACGTGAGTGGGAAGTGATTGTCCTGCGAATGTAACGCATATGGTACGTGAAGGTACATACTGAGTGTTACCGCTTATCACAACTTTCCTATTTAGACGATGTACGCTAATGATTTTATGATTTTGTGATGTAGACATAGAGGATTTAATTTCGGCCACGTCAAAATCTTGCGGAATGTCTTTGATAATTCCTGTTCTCAGGACTCTGTAGTTAGGTATTACTGCCTTTAGGTTAAAAGTTGCAAGATCCGGGTTAGAAACGAGTTTGTTAGCGGCCGCCGCTGATCTGCATACCACTATTATTTTGCCGATACCGAGGCGTTCCATCTCAACGATGTCGGACGCAGGCATAACCTTACCTACTTGAGCGAAGATTTTCACCGGATGCTGCATGCTATTTCTGCTGTTGCCTAGCGCGTGGACGTGAACGGCGTAAGGAGGGAGATCTGAAGCCGTGTATGTGTTTGCCTTTTCTTCAATTTTGCGCGTTTTATTTGCTTTGCCGGAAACGCTGTTGGACCCAGCGTTCGAGCCGATCGAAATTTCAGAGTGGTGAGAAGGCGCGGATTCACGTGATCCAGACGCCGTGGAGGTAGAAGCAGTCTCCGAGTCTTGGAAGGTGCGTTTGTTACCTTTCTTAATCCCGGCTGAAGACGGTGCTCTCTCCTGATCGTTCGTCGTCTGCGATGCCTCGCAGATCATTTCATCGCCAGAGATATTTCTGTTAAGATGCTGAGATTGAGAGTGCGCAATAGTGTTGTGCGCAGGAACAACACTGTTGAGATATTGTTGATCCGAGTCCGGAAGCACACCGAGGCCCGCGTTTGCATTTACAAGGGGAGGGGAAAGGGAAGGGGATGGCAGCGGATAGGGTTGAGAAGAAAGAGACGCTGGAGATAAGGGGGAAAAGCTTTGAGAGAGGGCTAATTGCCCCTCGAACGTAGAGAAACTTTCGAGCGGAACCGATAAAGTCTGGTTTTCCGATGGGGGGGGGGGGACGCGCGGGGTCCGAGTATGGCGGACTTGCCGGCACATTATCTCGGCCCCCAGCGCCCGAGGCCGGGGCCTCGTACATATCGGGAAATTGCGTACTTGACTGACGCAGGGGATAAAGGTTTCGCGTGAGAGAATAAGCCCGAGCACCACTTGCCGAAAATTATCCGGCGATGAGTAAACAGTAGACACTATACGAGAGCACACTAAGCACACGACCGTACCGTGACCAGGTCCACACGCGAATCCAGTCCGTCGCGCAAGCAACACCGCCGAAATACACGATCTAGCACGGACCATGAAGAGATCCCTCCGGTTAACGCGTTCGATAGCCAATCGATACTTGAGGGACGCGCGGGTTGCGATTGGATAATGCGTCAATAGCGGGGATGCAACGCGGAGGAAGTACCCTATATATAGGACAACCCTTCGGAAGTCCTCTCTCAATCGTCCATTAATCGTTTCGATCTCGGATCCGAGTACACGTACGCGCCGACTTCATTCGATTAACAAGCATTGTGAGCGTGATTATTGTTTCGAAGCTAAACTCTCCAAGAAGAGTGTCGCGGGTCGTGAACGCGAAAGAACTCGAACGCGAGACTCGTTTAACGTTCTGGGCTCGAAAACGAGTGTCGAAGCGCAGTGCGGACATCGAACATTCGAGTTAAGGTGCCGCGACAAGAGACCGATCGGACCCGCGTTTAGTGACGAATTGCAACGGCGAGTCGCGAACACCGTGTCGAAGCAGCGAAACATTACATATAATCGGCACAGTGCGAATTGTGACATCGACCGTGCAATCGAACAGTCTACGATTCGCGGATCGTTCCAGAACGGGCTGCGCAAACACGCCACGCGCCCGAAGTGACGCGACTTGCGACGTGGAACTATTTCCGGCGGACGCATTCGGCACAAGCGAGTTCCGGTCGAGCGTGCCGCACGCACAGTGGGAGGCCGAGCCCTCCGGCAAGAAGCCGAGTCTTCACGCCGCCTGAGGACGAATCCTTGCAAATCGAGACCTAGTCCTCGCCAAATCGAGGCCGAGTCCTCGCCGAACGAGGCCGAGCCCTCGATAACCGAAATTGCGACTCTTACCGGCCGCACTACCGAGGCCGAGCCCTCGACAACGCAGATTTGCGGAATTACCGCGCCATTCCATCGACAGAGTGACGCGTATCTCGATGTGGTGGACGCATTAACATATACATTGAATTTTATAATATACCACTTATAGAACAGTGAATAAACAAAGTGTTTTTTTTTATACGAAACGAGTGTACGGATCTAAACCTCCCTACATACGATCCCTTAACGATCCAATTTCACTTTTCAATTAAAATATTTCCGAGATATCTCTGAAAAATTTATGTGATGTATGAATATTAACGGCAACTAGTTATTTTTTCAACTCAATATCGAGTAACAATAACTATAAGTTATTTTTAAAAAGTAACTTTCCATTCCCTGAGATAAGCATATACCTATGCTATATGCTATTTTTGCAAGAAGAAATAAGGGTCATTCTACATGAAATGCATATAAGCATCTCACTAAACACACTTTGTAGCAGTTACATTACTTGAAAGTAAAGTAAAGTAACAATTGTTATGTTAATAGTTTATATGAAAGACATAACTTGTTACTTTCATGTTACTATTACAAATTTACAGATAAAAATATGTCACTGTAATATTATAAGTTACATCAGAGTATTTTTATTATTATTCGATGGTGCTACAGCTCATATCAAGCCCGGGCATCCTTCAGTTTTGTCCTTCAGATATTTCGATCCGTGGCGTACGGCTTCCAATTTCTCACTGTTAGTAGCTTCCGCGCATCCTCTGAGACATTGTCCTCCCATCTCCTAACGTTCCATGTTCCAAATGTAATTCCTTCTTTCATTGCCTGGTTCGTTGCCGATTTATCCGTTGTATCCGAGGCTTATTCTGTGGTTTCTTATTGTTTTTACACGTACAGATTGTTAGCTTGTAGCGTAACCCCCCGCCTGGGAGTGAGTGGCTCTCATTTCTTTAGTCTCCTCATCAATTCTAGAGGGGTTGGTTACCCAATCTCCGATGAGGGTACAGCAGCGTCATCACGAGTAGGCAAAGTGTGAGTGTGTAGGAGAGGTGTAAGGCTTCATTTTCACAGATCTGCCATTCGATGCACTTCTCTACTCACAGGTCAGTCTGACCGACGCAGAGTAATATTATACAGAGATGTCAGAGACTGCCAAAAGTTCCGGGCCACCTAAATAATTTCTGAACGTTCGAGATATTGAATTGAAATATATAGCGTTACAATAGCAAAATGTAACCTATAATTTAACCTTGAAAACATCCACTTCAACCTTCCGAGGGAGGCGGAGAGGGAGAGGGTTTGAAAATCTTAAGTGGTAAATGTGGCGTCGAATAAAGTCTCTAAAAGGACTTTTTGAGATGAGAAGAACGCGAGGCCGTTAAGGTCTCTATGATTTTTTTTCGCAGTTATACTCATTTGAACATTGGTGTTTTTGTTTTACATTAGCGAGGCCCACGGCGAGGACGTGAGGAAGATAAGGCATCGCGTATGTTCCTTACACAAACACACGCACGCACGCGCGCACGCACGCTCTTTTACATGCATTTCCATCTACTCAGGAACATGCGTGAAAACTTATCTTCCTCACGTCCGCAGCGTGGGCCTCGCTAGTGTTAAAAAACACCAATGTTCAAATGAGCATAACTCTGCGAAAAAAGTCATAAAGACCTCAATAATTTTGCATTTTTCTCGTGTCAAAAAGCCCTTTCAAACGAGTTTTCACTCGACTCCACATGCCATTTAAGATTTTCAATCCTTCCTCTTCCGCTCCCTCGGAGAATTGAAGTAAATGTTTTTAAGGTTAAATAATAGATTACATTTTGCCATTGTAACTTTATAAAGTACATCCAATGTCTCGAACCATTCAGAAATTATTTAGGTGGCCCCAAACTTTTGGCAGTCCCTATATAAATATTGATGTAAATGTAATGTTGAATGTTATTTTTATGTGAATGTTGTTTTTATCAGAAAAAAGTATTTATTATGCAAGTAATAATAATTTTTTATTTAGCACGTCGGCCGTGATGATGTTTGACGGCGTGCAATGTAGCGTTGCTTGTATTTGTCTGAAATAAAAGATCCAAAAAGATTACTGTTTATTAAGAGTTTACGCATTAACTGAACCTATTTTTAAAGAAAATAATGCGAAATTGTCAAAATCGCGACACTTGGAAAAAGAAGGTAGCGATTTTGACAAAAAATTTTTCGTGTTTATTATGCAATAAAAATTATTTAATTAAATAATATTACAATTAACTTTGAGAGCGCCTTTTTGCGGTCACGGCTGGATCTTAGATGCCTAATAGATTCTATATGAATTTTTCTGAAGTCCATGTACAGCCGTTGAACTGCGCGCCGATTAAATGTTCGGACTTGAAACGCAATTATTAGCTGAGGCTGGAATAGAAATATCATATTGATTTTTCTAATCAATCGATGCTTATAAGCATCTTAAAATACTGAAAAAAACTTATTGCGAAAAATATGTATTTCTCAGTCAGGATTTGAACCTGGGATTTCTCGACTTTCTGGGGCGGGCGTCTTAATCAGCTCGACCACCGAGGCATATGATAATATTTGTCGCAATAACCTTTATATATTAAATGAGAACGTATGCTAAGAGGTACGTGTATTAAATAATAATTATAATTTGAATAAGATTACTAAGCCCATACAGAACAAAATATATAATAAATATCTACTGGATATTCACATATCTATACACTATCCATATCCATTATGGATAACTAGTAGATATTTAATAATTATCTACACATCCATATTCACTAAACAGTTACCAAAGATATCTATTAGATATTTATTTGTTATCTACATATCTATGTTAACAAAATATTTACCGGAGATACTTAATAAACATATCGGAAGAGCACACG